AACTCACCTAAGTGGGTCAAAAAGATTCAGGTTCAAGACCGGTTTCAGTTTCTCATTCGCAACTGCCATTTGTAGCACAAGCCTGCCTGCGTCTCAGGTGCGCAGCCAAGGGGTTTCCGGTTTGGAGGCCAGCCGTTCGCCATCACAGAGAGCAGAGAACTGCGAGGACCGAGAGAAATGAGAGAAAAGGCGAGACAGCAACAAGAGAGGGAGAGGGAGACTGGAGAAAGAGCCTGGTAGGTGGCCAACCTGAAAGAGTTCAGATCCGGCATCGAGAGCCAGCTGATGAAATTGGCCCCCGGCGAGGTGCGTGCGCGGTCGAACTCCGAAAGGTGTTTGGCCTTTTTGCCTCAGGAAAGTCAAGGAACGTCCCTGAAAGTTGTTTGGCCACTGTGTGCAAGGGGGTTTGTGCGTATTGTTTTTTGCAGGGCACCATTTTCGGGATTGGTTTGAAGGGAAACCAAAGGGACACCGTCCAATTGAATCAATTCGGAGGGGAGCCTATCTTCAATCAACACCCATTTCCCACAAGGGTGTCTCTCAAAGTGGATGGTTTTACAGGGAACGCAAGACAGGCCCAACAAATGGAGACATGGGCGGTCATGAGTTAGAATTTGGACCCAAGTTCTTTGATCCAAAATTCGGTTCGCCGCGCGATCTGACAGCAGGTCAGGACGTTTCCATCGACCCTCTCTGACCAGGAGCGATGATAGTATGTGCGAGTCGGGTTCGTCAAATTTCGCTTTGTGGCCTCGGCGACGTGGGCGTTTTCCCCATTTCTTGATCGCTGTAAAAGGTAAGAGTGAGTAAATACGTATAGGTGATATGTGTTGTTTTAGAACCCCCGCAAAGCTGGTTGGTTTGCTTCCCGCCAAGAAACATCCAAGAAGGGCGCCGTAGAGCGCCGCTTTTTCGGAAACAAGCACCGGGTCTTCCCATGGGCCGAGACGACATTGGCACACGAGGAGCGGCAGGTGGTGGAGGAAGCAGCCCTGCACCTGGGCCTCACAGCTCATACCGAAGGACCACCAGATCGCCCGGCCTTTGGCACCAGTGTGGAAATCCGCCTCGCTGAAAGTTGGTTGATCTATGATTGATATCTTCTTCGTCTTCTTCTTCTTCCTCTTCTCCTTTTAAGGCCAGTTGCCCAGTGGCACCCTTGTTTCCTCATTTGTTTGGAGCGGCTTTTTCCACATGGCCATTGGAGGTCTGAGGAAGGATGGCAAGTCGAGTGGGGGGTTTGTCAAAAGGCTCACTCCCCGAGTTCCTGGCTGTTTTACTTTTTGGGAAGACCAGTTTAGCGGTAAAGAACAAGCATGTTATTTTCTTTTGCCAATCCACGTAGGAAGCAAGAATGGGGTGAATCAATTATGTCCGATTGTATGCGAGCTAACCGGGGTTGGTTCCCCATGAACATGGTCGAAACCCCCTTATATACGGGACCTAAATCATTACCATGGTAGGGGGTGGTTGGTTGTAAGCCTTTGACCAAGCGGGTTGACCACCTGAAACCACCTGAAGTTCGGTCGACATTCCGAGGGACACTGGGGACTCGCCAAGTTGAAGTTCCCACAAACCAGCAGGAGAGGGAACCAGAATGTTTGTCTACGGGTAACTTTCACATATCTTGACGGACCGTGGTTCTAGTAGTTTGCACGCCTTGTTTTATGCAGTTGCGGGGTAGGTCGAAGAGGTGAGATAACCTACGCTTCACCTCTCTCCTTGCAGAAATCCAGGGCCTCTCTTGCCCCCGCAGGGTTTTGAAGGATGAGCAAACCTCAAGAATGGTATTTTAGAGTTGGACCCTCTTTACACCACCTCTCCCCCCCCCCCAGGAGTGGAACCAGTCAGCTGGATCCTCTTTGGGGATAGTCCGGGGGTCTGGGAGGGCCGGGGTCGACCTTCAGGAGGGCGGACCACCAGACACGTCAGTGTGGGGAACTTGAGGGACTTCATCGCCCTCGCGCGCGCGAGGATGGAGGCGAGCTGAGGTTCACATGCCGAATTGGGCCTCGCACCGCCTATGGGTGCCTTTTCGCAGCTTTCCTTGTTCGTTCTTAACAAAACACATGATTTGGCTCCCAATGGAAAAACACATCTTGCTTTGATACAGGAAAGACCAGAAATTGTTTGGCTCCCAATTGAAGCAAAACAATGCACTGGCGGCAGTGGACCTGGGCCGCTGTGGGCGCATTTCCCGCCAGTTTCAGTCCACCTGTGTGTGAGGCCCTCAGCGAGCCGGAGGATACGGAGAAGTTTGGGCCGCCCTTGACGCAACTGCAGCTGGTTGTCGGGTCGCCTGGGCGTTCGACACGGGGCGTGACAAGTTCAGGGCTCCCTATCTGATTTGTGTGTGTGAGCCCTTTTCTGGTTTGAAGCGAAACCACACACGACCATGCTGGGTCCAAGTCCATTTTGATGAGCACCCGTTTAGCGCATTGATGTGAGTTTGAGTTGGGCGATGCTTCAAGGGCAACTATTTGTGCGGAAGGCGGGGGGGGGGGGGATTCTTTTGGGGTATGATGGTTCCTGAGATGTGAATCTTTGGACATCATGTTCATGTCCACCAAGCCATGTCGAGGGACTCTCCATTGAAAAACTACTTGTTGCACCAAATAGCCCATATGTCTTGATTTGCCCAAGAGGAAACTGACTGTTTGTTTTGACCCCCCCAATTTAGAATTAGCCCAACATCCATGGTAAAAGGAGATAATCTCTTCCCCCTATTAATAAATACGGCCCCCCCCTATTATAAATAAATCCCCCCAAAAATATATATATTTTTTTAATTGGGGTTTTTGGGGTTGGTTTTTTTTGCTTTTCCAACAATGTGAGGGTTCACGTAGGATTTGGATGAAATGGATTAAATTGTAAGGTCCGCGAGTAAGCGGTTCAATAAGGAAATTTGATGCATCATTTTATTTGTTTACCAGTTTACTGGTTGTTTGTTTGCAGCCAGACAGGTTAATTAGCCAGCGTGTACGGGAGAGAGAGATTCGCAGCTAGAAGACAGCTTTTGGCGACATGTTTTCTTTTGAGGGACCGCAGCCAGGTGACAAACGCAGCCAGCCAGGGAGTCAGGGACAGCCAGGGACAACAGAGTCAAGAACAACCTTTTTGGGAACCCACCAAAAGAACCCAACCTTTTGAGAAGCCAGCTTTTGGGAAAGCAACCTTTTGGGGAATTGAGGAACCCACCTGTTGAAAAGTGAGGCTGGAAGCTTGCCAAAAGTGCCCCCTAATACGGATTCCAAGACGTTAGTATTGGTTTAGTATTGGCGCAATGGAAAATCAATTGTGTGGAGTGGAAATCTGGTCCCGGGCCCCGGATTTGCATTTATTATTAATTGGGGTCATTCATTAATTGGGGGAGCGGATTAATTTGAAAAAAATAAAACCTTACTCTAAAGACAAACCCTTCTGGAGTAAAACGCGTTTTTTTTTTTCACCTTACTCCTTTTCTCGTGAGGAAGGTCATCATGAGACCCTTACCGAGAGAGATTAGAGGAAGGTCATAACGACGCACCCAAGAGTAAGGTGATAAAAAGAAGCCAAGAGTAAGGTCATAAACTGGCTGGAAATGCTGACCAGATAATTCTCACCATGTCCTCGTGGATGCGCATGAAGCTGCAAGGGTTTGCTAGGCAACGGCAAGAGTGTTCATGGCCCCTGGGTCTTGGGCATCGGCGCTAATTTGGTTGTTTAGGGAAGGGGGACCCCAGGGGTAAAAGCACCCATCCTTCCTAGACCAGTTAGCTGTTTTGCACAACGAGTGTAGATATGAACACCGCCGATGCCGAAGACCCAGGGGCCCCTTAAATTAATATCGGGCCCCTTTGAAGAACAGGGCTAAGGGAAAACAAGGTGAAGGAGTAAGGCCATCAAGGGCCCTTTTTGAAGAAAAGGGTTGAGGGAAAACAAGGTGAAGGAGTAAGGCCATCATGGGCCACTTTTGAAAAAAAGGGTTGAGGGAAAACAAGGTGAAGGAGTAAGGCCATCATGGGCCACTTTTGAAAAAAAGGGTTGAGGGAAAGCAAGGTGAAGCAGTAAGGCCATAAAGGCGTCTTTGAAGAACAGAGGCCGAGAGAAAAGCAGGTGAAGGAGTAAGGCCATAATTGAAAAATGGTTGAGGGAAAACAAGGTGAAGGAGTAAGGCCATCAAAGGCCCTTTTTGCCTAATCAAGTGGCAGGAGGGTAGAGTGTCCAAGCGTTTTCCATCTCATCATGGCGTGCTTTGGTGCCAAAAACTTGAATCCATCCATAGCTTTCAGGCTCCCAAGCACTTTGAATCAATCCTCAGTTGCAAAATTGCCTTCCCGCATCATGGCCCCCATCATGAGATGCGCGGCAGCTTCGCCGGGCCTACCAGGACATGGACTTTGGCCTGGGCGTGCAGAAGCTCGTCCGCGCCACAGTCCCGGGAGACGGGGACTGCATGTACCATTCTCTCATCGCTTCGGCGAAGGAGAAGGGGCATGAGTTGGGCACTGTCTTGGCAGTGCGAGTCTCGGTGCACGGAGTGTTGGCGGCGTACCCCTGGTGCTATCGAGATTTTGTGACGGGTTCCTATTGGGAATTCGTGAACAAAACCTTGGTCCACGGTGAGTGGGGGGACGACGTTCAGCTCCAGGCCTTCTGCGACAGCAGTGGCTACGGAGTGAGGGTTTATTACCTGAGCCCCGATGAAAGCACCGAAGACTACTTCCTTGACAGCCATCTCAAGTGCCCGTGGAACAATGACAGCCCTGATCTCGTCTTGGAGATTTGTAACATCCAGGCTGGGAAGCAAAAAAAGCAGTCTGTTCACCTTGAGATTCATGTCTTTTCAAGACATGTCTTGGAAGGAATGGCACTTTGACGCCGTGGTGCCACTGGATTACGTGGACAAAGCCGCGGTACCCGCTGCTGACCCCGACAGTGACAGAAAGGAGACGGGTGAGAAGAAAAAGAAGGGGAAGGCCAAGCCTGGATCTGAGACTCTCGTCCATTTTGACCTTCCTCTTCCATTTTGACCTTACTCTTTGTCCGTTTGTTAACCCTTCGGAAATTCGTTTTTGACCTTACACCGTCTAAGGCCCAAGACCCTGAAACGCAAGCGTTCCGAGAACGCAGAGCTTTTTTGCCCTTCGATGGTAGCTCGCCTTCTCGTGGCGAAGGGTGTGAGTAGGCTTGCCGCAAGGCAGCTGACACCAAGAAGCTACCTTACTCCTGTCTCTGTGGCCCTGTGTTGGCGGCAGTCATTCATGACCTTACTCCTTATCACCTTACTCCTTCTCTGTGGCCGTGCGCTTGAGCCTCTCACCTTTTTGACCTTCCTCCTTCTCTGTGACCTGCGCTTGGGCCTCTGACTCTTTTCACCTTACTTCTTCCCTGTGGCCGCTGGAAGGGTTTACCACCTTCCTCCTTGTTATTTCCTGACCAATTTCCCTTTCACACATTCATCACCTTACTCCAATTGCTTAGACGCAGCCTCCCATCACCTTACCCCTACTCATTTTGTCGCCTTTCTCCTTCTTGAAGGCTGCTCTTCCTTTTGAAGGCTCTTCCTTTTGAAGGCTCTTCCTTTTGAAGGCTCTTCCTTTTGAAGGCTCTTCCTTTTGAAGGCTCTTCCTTTTGAAGGCTCTTCCCTTTGAAGGCTCTTCCTTTTGAAGGCTCCTCCTTTTGAAGGCTCTTCCTTTTGAAGGCTCTTCCTTTTGAAGGCTCTTCCTTTTGAAGGCTCTTCCTTTTGAAGGCTCTTTCTTTTGAAGGCTCTTCCTTTGAAGGCTTTTCCTTTTGAAGGCTCTTCCTTTTGAAGGCTCTTCCTTTTGAAGGCTCCTCCTTTATTCTTGAGCTTACTGTCCTTTGGCCCCCACTTGAAAATTCTAGTGCCTTGTCAGGGTTTTTGATTCTTTTTGATATATCAAGACCCTTGTTCATGGCATGGCCTTCCTCTCTTTTGGCTTGGGGTGTGTTATTTTTGCACGGCCGGGCAAAAGTAAGGTGAAAAAAGGCGGCCCTTACTCGAAGAGAAAGGTGATAATATATAAGAAAGAACAGCAACATAGAAGAGTAAGGGCATGGTTGCTGGACGCTTCACGACCTTACCAACTTAGAGTAAGGTTTTATGTTTTTGAAATTATCTACTTTTAAACTTAGGGAAAGGTGATAATATCACCCTTAAGGAAAGGTAATAATATATGGAAAAAAAGGGTTGGTTGGCAACAGAGAAGAGTAAGGGCATGGTTGCTGGACGCTTCACGTAGTCAGCTCTCTCCCAGGAGTAAAGACCCACTTTTATCACCTGCCTCCAGCGCACGTACTGTTTAAAAAGAAACCCAAAGGACAGAAAGCCCATAAAATGAACAGGGTCTGTGAGGAAACCTTGTGTGTTAAAACCGGGAAAAGAAGGGGAAAACAAGTGGAACGCCCAGGAGTGTGGAGTTTCAGAGGATCCAGATTAATGGTTTTCAGATGACGCCCCCTTATGTGGCAGGAAGGTGGAAAAGTGGCCCTTTACTCAAGGGAAAGATGAGAATATTACAGCAAATGGTAACTGTTGAAGGGCAAGGGCGTGGTTACTGTAACGCTTCACCCCCACGGGAAGGTGATAATACAAATTGGCAATGTTGAAGAGTAAGGGCTAAGGGCAGCTGAACACCATTACTCTGAATCCGAAGCTGGAAAACACAGTCCATCGTAAGGTGGGGTTGGTGAATGACATTGGGAAAAGCAAACGCCAAGCCCGTGTCTGCCCTTTGCAAGTGCTTCTGCCTTGTGGGGGCGGAATCAGAGAGTCCTAGCCTGCCACCTAATTAACTCGTGTAAGCTGTCATGCTTTGTATTCGCCAGTCCTTCCTGCAAAGGACAATCTCGCTGCACGTTTGCTCTGAGTTTCGATTCGATCAACGGTCAACACACACCATCATTCACTTTTGTTTTTGACATGGGCTGGGATGGGCTGGGGTGG